CCCCCCTCCCCGACAAAGACACACATGTGCAGGCCGCCCATCCGACACACACCAGAGTATACACGTGCGTGTGCCAACAACGCATGTTTTGGTATGAAAAAAAGGCCGCTGATTGGTTGCATTCAATCGGCTTTGTGAACAATAGTTCACGATACAGGAGCAATGGATGGTTTCCGGGAATAGATATTCATGTATATCGTTCTTTCTGGGAGAAAAATGAGCGAAGCCAGGTCAGTGGGGGCTGTTCCCCCTGGAAGCAACCTCGTTGAATCCGAGGTGCTTGTTGAATCCGGATTATTTTTTATAGAAGAAAAAAACAGGGAATCTATCTCCTCTCGTTGAATCCGAGCTCGTTAAGTCCGAGTTCCACTGTATAACGAACACTTGGATTCAACGAGATTTTCGGTCAGGCCCGGCGACCTCGTTGAATCCGAGTTCTTCTGTAAAATACTGCTATAGCGCAATCAGATAAACATTAAACATGCGAGTCGGTTATATAGCGGAATATTGCTGCTGCTATGCACAGGGCATAGGCCATTTATTCATGCAAAACCTTGCCGGTTGTAGGTGATCTTGCGAAATGAATGGGAGAGCCCACCACGTGTGCCAACAATGAAGGCAGAGCGAATGAGTGGGGAAGATGTGGTAGTGGTATGCACAGACAAGCAGAACGCATCGCGTGATAGGCCAGCCTAGTCTAAATAATTTAACTAAGTCTACCATGTCTCTCACTTCTCCGATGCGGCGATGGAGAGGTCACAATGATGTGACCGTGAAGGATAGAGCGAATGTGGAACGCACCACAGGGTGTGGTGGGGCGGGAGACAACACAGCGGGCGAGTTAGCTTAGAGAACTTTATTTCTGATCGCCGACGCTGAGCTGTCAACATCGCTAGCGCAAGAAAAATAAACCTTTTATTCGATTTTTGATCAAGTATCAGGATAGACTACAAAAAGAAACGAACAGAAAACCACTGTACTATTTCCCTTGAATTTATTACTGGGTCCCTTATGACAATCCTCCCATAACGGATGTTCGGCACCGGTCCCCTCCCTCTCATTATAACAGGATTCCACTGTACAACATTCCAGCAGACAGACTGAGGTGAGCTGCTGGAATTTGAATTCTTCGTGCTAGAGCTAGCCCAGGCTGAGATGTGAGAAGGACACATCCCGGAAGACGGAGACACTTGATAAAAAAAAGAAAGACCTCTCCCCGCAGGAATCAAACTCACAACTTGTATTTGGAGTCCCCAAAACCACAGACACCTGTCTATTGTACCTAGAATTAGATAATAGAATGACCCTTAGCCACCACAAGAGTGCTGTGGCCACATTACACTTTAGGCCTATCAAACTTTGAAATTTTTACAAACTACAACACCATCGATGCATCATCATACTGAACTGAAAGAGTTCATTTGTTGAAGTTAACTATTTCATTTTCAAACCAACTTTGGAATTATGCACGTCAGTATGTAACACCTAGGCTACATGTATGTATATAAACCGTAGGCTACCACTTCTTCAGAAAAATGGGACCATACCGGCAGAGGCTCCAACCTAAACCATTCAGAAGACATCTGTGTGTCAAGTTCAAAACCAAACAAAAGCAAAACAACATGAAAATCATAAGCATGTTTTCATTGCAAATTATTTTCTGTCTTCGGTTTAGGGTAGTCTGTCATTATCATAGAATCTAGTCTTAGTCCACCACTGATGAACTGTACTGCCCTTCGCAGACAAAACACCTTTTTTTCTTATTCACAACAGTTTCAAGAAATGAGCAATTTTTGGTATTCTTATAATGTCTTAGTCTTAGTACAGTCCATGCCGGCTTTAAGCACGGTCATCGGGAGAAAGCTTAAGCGTGCTTAAAGCCGAAGCGTGCTTAAGTGCGAAGTAGACATAATCCAGAGATTTTCATGTAGAAAATTCCCCGTGCTATTAGTAATATAATACTCTTTGTTTGTAGGCCTATAGCGGTCCCACAAAAGTGTGCACTGTTATTTAGACACCCGCCATGGTAGTTTTTGTTCGCTTGTTTGTTTTGGTTTTGTGGTCGAATGGGAAATGAAAACTTAATTTAGACGGCCAGTCACGATACAGCACACTAGGCCTACTGTAACACACTGCCTGTGCGTACCACTGCCCGCTGTGCTACTCATACGTGTACCACCGCCTTCATCCCACCTCGCGCGTGATACACAATCAGGATTAATGGATAGCGAGGGTCAAAGGTGAAATTGCAGCCAGCCTCCCTTTCTCGTCTCCCTGACTGTCTTTGTATTTTTTTTGGTCTTGTGTAACTTTGCCCTAGGCCTAGGCTAGATCCTATGTCTGCGTGCACGGCTGTGTGCTTCTCTCTGCCTTCCTCTCCGCCCGTGTGAGTGTGTGTGTCCATCACTTGCGTTCTTTGTGTTTCTCTTGACACACTCCACTGCTGCGGTGTAAACTGTGTTCGAACTTCGATGGGTCATCATGAAAATATTGACTGTCTTGTAAATGAAGCATGCTTGAAGCCGAAGTTACCGTGCTTAAAGCCGGCACGGACTGTACTCTTAGTTATTTTGCACTGTAGGCCTACATCAACGGTAGATGCCTCCTAATAACTCAGCTCAGAAACCCCAAAACGCCCTTTCACTTTGCAGTCAAAAGTTTTAAGTAACAAAAAAGACTTTAAATCTAAAAGTGTTCACTTGTTAGCTTATTATCAATTATCGTCATTTTAAGTTACTAACGTCAACGTCCTTTATCACTCATATTCATAAATGACACTGAGTAGCATTGATTCAGTTATGTTGGCGCAACAGATACATGTAACTGTTCACGTCCATACTGAAATTGCATCAGAATTTCCATGATTATTCTTACTAATTGTAGGCTACTCCTAAAACTAATCCTATGTTACGAACTTCCAGATCATTCCCACCTCTCAAGAACAGAAAAAGAATGCACAGAAGCTGTTTTGTTTGAGCAAAGAGAAGCACATTGACACACAGTAGCCCCTATACATCGCCATCCAATTACGAAATTTTCCTTCAATATCTTCACTAAACAATTTCTCTTATTGACTTTTTTCGGCCCATTTTGCTTCTTCGACATGCTTCCTGTGTGTATCTGGCGGAGCACACAAACATAAAAGGGGCAAAAGTCAATGCATTAGTTCTTCATCAAGTCTGCATACCCACCAAGTAGCCTATCGACACACCAGGCATTAGTAGGTCATGTAGGGCCTACACACACGAGGGTCTCGTCCTCTGGGTATCACCTCCCTACCCCCACTCCCTATAGCTCACTCCCCTTCCCCATCCTATTCTCAGTCTGTCTCTGGCAAGTGCCACTGTCAGTGAGTCAGTGCCTCGCCTTTCCATGTTCCCCAGCAAGCAGCCATAAACAGGCCGGCCTTACAACTAAGGATACGCTGGTGTGCCCTCGCACTGCTCGGTCTTTAGACTGGTACCATAACTCGTAATGAACAGTAATGGTCTCTTTACAAGGTCCCAGAATAAATTTGCAGAGAAAACTTCTACTTTGAACCTTTGGGAGCTGTCTTAACACATACAAAAATCCCCTGATCAGTGATATCCCTATTTAGTGTTGAAAAGGTAGGCTTTCACAAATATACCAGAAGGTCTAGATCTATCGGCATTTTCTAATTTCTAGTGCTGCTGCTGCTTTTTATTGGCACCCAGTACTGGCACCTCCAGGAGCTTTCAACTAAATATAAGCCTCCATAACCTTGAAGACACCCCAAGAAGGTTATGCGACAAACAATGTTGAGATGTACAACAATTGTAAGGTATAGGCAATTTACAATACAATGTAGCCTACATAAATCAAATTTTCTCAAGCATCTCACTTTCACAATGCAACATATTTTAGCATGTGTACATTTATAATTATCTTATGCTACCAAAAATTCAAGATATTTCACCTTGGGTTTTTTTTACAAAGGAAAACCAGATGCTTGAGAAAAGTGTTCCTGATGCTTAGGCAGCTTTGAGCACTAATTCAGCGATTTACGATCCACAATGGTTCAGTGTGAACTGTAATTTGTAAGCCAAATCAACCAATTTGACCAACCAGATGAAATCCTGGGCGGGAGTAACATGTCCCAACACTCTGCATACCCTCTGCAGCAGCAAACCATACTTTATCAAATTCAAGGGAAGTGACAGTGATACTGATAGGCACAAACAACAATTCCACAATACCCATCTACTCAAACTCAGTCTTTGCAATGATGACATTTTATTATATTTCATGATAAACATGTCATTAAAAGCTATAAAAAAAAAAAAACAACCACAAGGTAATAAAATGTAACAAAATAAGGTAATAGCTTTTCAATCTAAAATGACTAATTTTCATTATAAATAGGTAATTTTATGGGCCAATTTTGCCAAACATGTTTTCAAGACACGAGCACCTCAGAGAATATGGTAAAATTTTAAATTGGGGGAAAAAAAGGACAGATGAAAAAAGTACAAAACAAAGGAAACGGTTCACAAACAAAACAACTGCACTCGTTCATGGCAATAAGAAGTAAATTTTGTACCGAGACAATGGAATTCTGACAATTTACAAGATGACCACAAGTTTATCACATTCAGTTTCCAATTTCAGACCCAATAACATCAGATCCCATTGCCCCTTTGCAGTTGCCATTCACTTAATCAATTCCCCCCCACCCCTTCAAAATGCTTGATTATCATACACATACCTATGAGATAGCACAACACAGTCAGCAAAAGAATACATACTGTGTTAAACATGAATATAATATGGAATAGTTTGAGGCGAGCTGGAGCAGGTGGAGAAAATGCTGCAGTTTGTGATGTGAGGAGAAGGGGAAACCAAACTAACAATGTTGACTTTTCATTTGATGTGTTATCCAGAGGCTAATAGGAGAAATTTAAAAATGAACCACTGAATACAGTTTTTAAAAAAAGCTTGCCACTTTATCAAAATACCCACAAAAAACTAGACATCTACTGTAATTTACTTTATTTGTATGTTGAACAATTCAGTAATCATTCTCATTCATCCTAATTAATTTTGCCATCCCAAATATATTTCTAAAACATTGACTTTTTAATCAAGCCATGTACCGTAAAATGGAAATATCCATGAGTGCTTCAAGAAAAAGCCTACTAAGCAAATGTAATATATAACCACAGCATATACATAGTGTATCAAAGATGCAGTGCTGACAGCTAACTACTCATACCTGATAATACACAGCAGAAAAGACAGTGAAGCAGAAATAGTAACTGACCACACAAGGAGGAAATGGTGAAGATGAATACAGCCCTTGAGCAAACTAAACCCTCCACACGGTTCAGTACAAAGCAATGGAAACTAAACCTCAGTTTGTGAAGTGTAGTTGCAATATATCAAGTTTTTGATTTTAGCATCAAGGTAAATAGGTTTACACCCTGCACTACCATAACATGGAACCAACTCAGCACAGAGAAAAACCTTATTCGAAAGAACTTATAATATCGCCATCCCAATAAGACCAAGCCCTCTTCAAGTGACGAGTTACCCTTTGCAGCACAAAAATTCCAAGCTTGGAATTTCTTGAAAAACAAACCTACTTGATATACATGAAAACCAAACTCGGTGGGGCTGAAAAGGATCTACAAGTCATGGGTTACACATCCTCCTCAAAAAGTTTAAACTTGTGCATTAAACAGCAGTTTTCTCAAGAAAGAAATTCTTGTCAAAGTAGTCTTATCACCACTTAATTTCACTTTACTGCAGCAAGATTAACATTCAGAGCATTTTGTAAACAGAAGAGTACCAGACACAGACATGCTGGGCTAGGACAATAATAAATGTGGTTCATGACATTTTACTTGCAGCATGTGGCATGGCAAGGTCCATGTTCAGAGTTCTTGCAATTGTGTCAGTGTCTGACATGCCGCCAGGGCCTACTGAAAAGTAATTCACAACATTTTACCTGTAGCATTGTCTACCAGACATACCAAGGACAACACAATAGGTGGTTCAGGACCATAAATCCAAAGCAATCTGGTGTTCAAAACACTTAGTAGACTGGAGTGCAAGTATCACATACAAAAATGCTTTCCGTCCATTTTTCACCACTTGATATGCCAGCATGAAGGGGTAAAATATAAACCCAAAGATGTACTGCAGTCATACAAACAAAATGAAGCATGACCCAAAGAATGAGGTGTAAAAGCATGAGGTGTACAGTAAATATATATAAAAAATTTGTTTAGATGATCAATGTCCAAGAGTCATGAATGACAGCTTCAAGAGACAAAATTTCAGAGTATGTGACACTTAACCGTCTTTCGACACCCTACACATTACTACCAACTTGATCTTTACTGGTCGAGCTGAAAACTACAGACCCAAAGTGAAATTAACTCAACACCTCAAATATGGGAGTCCTGAATCCTATCATATGCTATAGGCTTTTCTTATTACTATCAATAATATCAAAAGCAATTCCAGCACTGCCACTGCTGTGTACTGGAAGGAGTTTTATACAGCCCCTCACAAGAGACAGCAAACCTTGTGCAGCTTAAAAAGCACGCACAGCAATTAAAACAAAAAGTTGATTTTAAAAAACACTGAACAATTGCAATCTCCTTCCCCGTTTCGATTTACTCAGCAAAATCTTTTTTTTTAATTCAAAGAACAGCTGAATTCTCAGACTACAAAGTCACAAATCAGTTGTTTTCTTTATCAAGACAGGTTAAGTCCACTAAACATCACCAGATTCCTTCTACTTCATTGACAAATTAGGTGCAACTGCTTTACAGTTTAACATACGGTAACTAAGCAAAAAAATCTCAGACAATTACAAAAAAATTCTTCAAAAAAGAAAATTTCAGACAGGTAAGTCCATCAAACAGCCTTGCATTCAGTCAACAGTTACTCAGCCCAGGAGTAAAAACAGATAATTAACATCTCTTAAGGGTAAATAATATTGACTGCAGTGGGGCTGTATGGAACTCCTAAAAAAAACATTGGTCAGGTCAGAAAATAAAAAATATTCACTTAGCATATCAAACTACAAGGGCAATATACTATATCTACATTGATTTTTAAAATCTATGACATCCATTTAGAATTTTTAAAATAGGCCGAAATCAATTCTTGGAATTTTCAACCCTCATTTCAGAAGCTTACAACTTATAGATCTCTAAGCATAACCGTGACCCTGCTTGGTAATCAACCTTGTCCAAGTCAACTTACAGTACCTTGAATGAATGGACAGATGAAAGTAGTTAAGTTGATGATTGTTCATGGACCAATTTGAACCCAATTCATCAAATGTTAAAAAAAATAATTTTATAAACATATTCATTTCTGCACATAAATCAGGTTTTTTAGGATGCACACAAGTAACTATTTCTGTAGCCTACATGAGACATAATAGCTCATTGATTCATTGACCTTGCCGTCTGGTATGATAAGCTTGCCTATCCATAAAAAATATAGATCTATGCCTATTTGAAATCAACCTGTACTGATTCCAAGTAGGTTTCTAACTTTTGGCTTGAAAAAAGTGTGAGTAGTCCAAGGACATCATTATTATTGTTCATTGTCACGAAGAAACGTCATAAAATACACACAAGTAATAATATATAATGACCCAGGCTGATGAACCTTTTAACTTAAAAGGCTCTACCTGGTATACTACTAATCAATCAATATAGGTGTTACAAGATCTTTTTCAAAGTGAGCTACTAATGAAAAAGTTGGCTTATGGAAAAGCATTCAATAAGGACTAAACATGTTCAATAATTGGATGTTCAGCCTATGTTCCAAAGGACAAATCTGTCTAAAATTATAAGTAACTTTCATAGGCAGCCTGAACAATTATGAAAATAATAGAGATCTGGTATACCTAAGCCTTTAAATATCTCACTGAAACTAAACTCCCCTTCTTTGGTGGCCTATAGCAGATGAAATCCAAGTGGGTCAGGACATCACTGTGCATCACCATCATCATCATGACCATGACGGGGAGGCCAGCGTGACATTCAGACAGAGCAGAGTCCAGACATCTCACTTGGTACGTCCAACATCGCATAGTCCAATTGAAGAGTCAGAAGTTGAAGATTACACATTTCAATAGTCAGCATGTCTCTCGAAACAAGACCAAATGCCGCGAGCATAGTTTTAGACAACTAACAATATGAAATCAACTGCCTTTCAAGAACACTATAGGACAGAATACACGTTCGAGCACTCATCTCATGAACTTTCCTTCTAAACCAAAATTTCAGTTGTAAATATGAAACACAGGTATCAGATCACTAATCATCACCATTTTCTGCTGAATTATCCGATGTCCACAGAGTGAGATTGTCTCGGAGAAGCTGCATGATCAGGGTACTGTCTTTACAATCATTGTCTTGCAATTTCTCCAAGTCGCTGATGGCTTCATCGAAAGCTTCTTTTGCTAAATTGCATGCTTTGTCTGGAGAATTCAGGATCTCATAATAGAAAACTGAGTAATTCAGGGCAAGCCCTAAGCGATTGGGGTGCGTGGAAGGCATGTTCTTCTTTGCATGCTCCATGGCATTCTCGTAGGCAGCTTCAGCATTTTGAATGGCGTCACTCCTGTCAGGACCCTGTTCCGCTTTGTATTCTGCAATGTACCGCCAATAATCACCCCTCATCTTCAAATAAAACACTCTTTCTTCATCTGTGCATTCATCTGTGATGAGGTGTTTCTGCAACAAACCCAAAACTTCATTACAGGTAGCATCCAACTCGTCCTCTACCTTCACTCTGAATTCTTGCGCAATTTTCTTCTTCTTATCATTTTCAGCTCTCTGCTCAATCATGCAGATTACCCTCCATGAAGATCTACGAGCACCAACGACATTTTTGTACGCGACAGAAAGGAGATTACGCTTTTCTTGGGTGAGCTTCCCTTCCAGCTCCGTTACCTTTCGCATTGCACGGGCCATGTCGTCATAGCGCTCGCCCTGCTCGGCAATTTTAGCAAAGGTAACCAATTGATCAACATCTTTCAAACCTTCAATCAACTTTGTAGCATCTGGAATGGTAATGCGGGCACTTTCTTCTTGTTCCGACATGCTGGAAACGTAATCCAAAGATGAACTGTACAGACTCAAAGTTAAAAGTTTGACAGAAGTCTCTTACACTGTAAACAGCCCGTACAAACGGATGCGGCCTCCACAACAATGGCGGACAAAGTAGTTCATAACAGTAGCAAGCGGCGCGGTACCAACCTCGCGTGAGTCATGTGAGTTAACCCCCCTGTTTACCGAAATTTCTTCTTATTAATTTTACACGGACAGAAGCTAACTCTTAGTCAAACATTTTTGAAAAAACGAAAATAAAAATTCAAAGTAAAGCAATGGTCAGGTTGGAAATGTAAACTTTAAAACCATTTGTTTTCTACTAGTTTCATAACGGACACACCCATTTCAGCCTTCGATGTATGCTCATTTTCAAAGTTATTTCCCTTGATCTAGAGACTCTCTGGAGCGTCGCTTCACTTTCGCTTTTAGACACTGACTCACTTCCGGGTTCAAAATTGCCAATTTGGAAACAAGGAAATGAATGAATTAAATGATCTAGATAGACATGGTAATAATTCTACTCTATCGGCAATAAAGTGATTCGGTTGCGTGTTGAAAAGATGTGACAGTATGATATTGTCTGAACATTAAAGAACATTACTTTTTAAAATTCTTGCACAGTTTCTTTTTACCATAGCCGATACCAAGCCCGGTCTGCTTGAGCGACAAAACGGGTGCCAAAGATTCAAAGAAACGAAAGAGTGCCAAAAAAAGAGAGAGGAGCGGCGCAGCGATGCCTGCGGTTGGTCCCTTAAAACTTTAATAGGTAATAGGCCTAATAATAGTAATAGGCCTACTGCACCCCTCACGTCCCTTCCACACACACACACACACACACACACACACACACACACACACACGCGCGCGCGCGCGCGCGCACACACACAAGACAATCTCTCTCGCTCTCTCTCTCTCTCTCCGTGTGTGTGTGCGTGTGTTAGAAATAGCCTAGTGCTTTGACAGGTTTCCGTATTCGAGAGGTTTCCCTTTAAAGGAGGGTTTGTAGTTAGGCTGTATACGAACTATAAAGTATATATACGAACTATAAAGATAAACCAAGTTCATTCGGCTATTCGCTTCAATTAATGATTTTCGTCTGAATCACAGTCACGATGACGGCTGCACTTAAAGAGACGATGAGTCCTCGACAGCTGAGTGTCCACCCACCGCCAACGCAGTCAACTGATTGTCATCTCCCCTCTGCTCTTCCATGAGTCGGAGATTGCTTAGTCTCCACCTCCTTTCCAAAGATCACAAACGCCCCCCCCCCCCCCCCCCCCATTCCACACAATTCCCAAACAATTGGAGTATATGATTCACTCCTTCTGTTTGCGTCGGGGTTGGGGGGGGGGGGGGGGGGTAATCAAATACAGTGGTTTCTTTGCTTTCAAAACATGCCACGGCAGTCGAAAAATATACAGCGAGAATTACAAATGTTGTGCTCCAGGACGGAAATAAAGATTCTTTGATGAAAGTACACAAGGAGATGTAGCTCTCACATCCACATCATCGCAGGGCTCGACACATTTAGATCATATTAGATGACGCCCCATTTAATTTGACTGGAGATGTGTTTTGTTCACAGACGAGTCTCGATTCTGTCTCCATGAAAATGCTGGAAAGCAGCAACCAAAAAACCAGCCTCCATCATCAGAGGAACTATAACAATCGCTTGAAAGAATCTGGCTGTAAGTCCCTTAGTTTATCCAACGACTTATCTTTTCCAATTGTAAACGATGCCAATCAGCCATCAATAATACGGCAGGTGGCCACATGTGGTACACGTACTGATTTGGTGAATTTGAGATTTGGGGCGCTCATGTTGAATTAATTGTGATAGACATCTGCAAAAATAAACACTTCAATGAAAACAATTAATCCTCACGATTTCTTCTTTGATAAAAGTATGTGCGTCGTCTAGTAAAGAAAGGGATTCTCAAGAGAAAATTCGTCTGTCCAATGCAAACTTTTTTTTCTGTGAGTATAATGATATTATATAAACATATGTATACATACACACTCTTACTTCTTCTTTGATTCCAAACGTATGGACGTAAATTGTCTCTCCTTTGAAACATATCAAGGATGTCATGATCAGAAGGGAGGGAAGTACGTAGCACTTGAGCAATATCTACTGTCTCTTTGTAGATCTATATATCCACCACCTAGACAAAGCTGTATATATAGTGCATTAAGATCGCCCGTCCGCAGCCAAGACGCAAAAGGTATTTTAAGAAGACTAAGCTCGGCTACAGTTCGCTCAGTTGACCATAGTTGGCGGCTATCGCCACCGTTCTACTCGGCACGCTGCACGCTGCGGACGCCGCGAAGAGTGAGAGTCTGAGGAGGGCATTATTTCTTAGGTCCTTGATACTATGAAACATTGGGGAAAGTAGTTTGCGTAGATTTTTTAATTAAAGGTAGGTCCTAGCCACATGGATGCTGTGGACGCCTGCAAAGTTTCAAAGGTGTGGGTTAGGTAATAAGGGAGGAGTTTATGCACAAAACCTCCCAAGTCCATATTTATAGATACTGCAAAGAAAGGCGGCCATGACAGTAAGTAATCCAGGAGCACACGTCTATGGCATCAGGGCCAGGCGTGCGGCTATCTTGGTATGCGAGTAGTAAAAGCAGAATAGCTTGTTCGAATAATGATCGTTTATTTTAAAAGAATTGCCTGATTAACCGAGACTAGTCGAACAAAATTATTAACCATGGAGCGATTAGATCTTGCTCGATTTGGGGAGAGGAGGATACGATAATTTCCAGTTTGCTGGTTTTCTAGGGGCATGGATAATTATAACTTTTGATTCCATTAACCTTGAGACTTGAGATTTTAAATAGAGCGCCTGATTTGTCTTTTCTGGGAAATTGGTTTATTTATCCATGTACGTTAATGTGAAAAAGTAAAGGTACTTAATTTTCCCAATCACGAATGCATTTTTTTCTCTGTGCCCGTCTGAGATTGTAAATATTAAAACCTTTTTATTTACTGCACATGCAGTTCTGGAACACATTTCTTTCATTGTAACATTTATTCTACTTTCAAAGTTAAAACAAGCCTCCCTTTTAAACACATATAATTATTGACCCCCCTCCCCTTAAGCTCTAAAAATTACGCGCAAGTGGGGAGCCTAAAAGAAAAAAACAAAAAACAAAAATAAACTCCCTCTTCTTTAAAATGATATATACATATATATATATATATATATATATATATATATATATATATATATATATATATATATATATATATATATATCAGACTATGATTTAGTCAAACAGACACATCTCATAGGCCTACCAGTAAAAATTGATAATAAACGGAGCTGGCAGTGGCAATTTATGAGGGGGAAAAATAGACGTTTCTGAGTTAGACGACGTGCTTTAATTAAGGTCATGGCAAAAGAACTTGGGCGTTTGTTTGTAGACGTCAACAACATTTGACGTTGATTGCTGATCGACCAAGTTTCATTATCACTGTTAATTGTGGAGCACCATATAATAATATTCATCTGAAAATCTAAATCGTCAAAAGTTTAATTAAAAAATGATACTTCTTTTATTCTATGCAAGTATCACAAATGCTGCTGCGATGCTAGACGTGAGAGATATTTTAAAATTATATTTATGATAATATAGAAATCTACGTTTTACGAAAACATGCGGTTATTTCATATTTTTTAAATAAGAAAAGTCTTTAACCCTTTGGCTTTCAAAATGGGGCAATGATGATTAAGTTTTGAGTTTGTTTATTCCTGACAATCTATCAATTTTGGAGTCTGATTGATATCTTGCTCTATCAAAGAACCACTTTCGTCGATTTAGTCGAGCCAGAGTTTTGTTCGATTAGCCGAGGAATTTAATCGATCGTTGCACCTCTACCGGCACCGGCAGTGACAGTGACCGACCGAGTCTGAACTGCTGAAGAAACGGATGTAGGGCGGTAGGCCTCTAGGCTAGAGGCCTGTAGACTGTTGACTCGGACCAGGACCTAACTTTCGAAGAAAACACCGTCGTAATTACACGAATCAGCTTCAGTCTGGTCACCAAAAAGGATTTTGTGCCTGGACTACAGCACTCTACTTCTAAGTCTAAGGTAGGCCTAATATTAATAACGAACTTGGAGTTTGAGGAGCATTGGCATTGTTTTGAACGCTGCCAATCCAATCCACAGACAGTCGTCCACCAACAGGCAACAGCTGACAAGCTGGCTTAGAATCTCTGGGGCTTAGATCTAGCTTGACGTGTGTATGATTAGTAAGTATGTATGGAACTTTGTTTTAATATTAATATAATCTTAATCTCTGTGTAGACCTTCGCGATAGATCTAGAACTTTAGGCTTTAGGCCATTGTTAAGATTCCGGCGCTTTTTCGGTAGTTCCCACTCCCACCCCGCAATTGTTATTCACGGGTTTTGGCCCCGAAAGTGGCTATTCTCACCCGCCCGGAAGTTCTCGCAAGATCAACTCCTCCCCTCTTCTCTCTCTCTCTCCGTCTCTTTCTGATTACTGTCTATCGGTGTGGACGATCAAATTGACCAAAACAAAGTTAAAAAATGATGTTAAAACAACAAAAGTAAATTAATTTGGTTGTCTACAAAGATGCTACGGCTATTTAACTTTTCGAATCGAGCCGAACTACGCGGGTCGCCATTTTGTTTTGCCCGGAAATTCTCGCGCTACTCCTCTCTCTCTTTCTCTCTCTCTCTCCACTGCACACAGACAAAATTGTACGCTTTTAGTAGGCTACAGTTGTAATGGAACGTTTGTTCACGGCACAGAATTCTACAATTTTTCTGTTATCACAGTGTAGAATTCTGTGGTTTAGGGTGAACGCAAAATTTGGTGAACGCGCACCGGGTGAGAATAGCCACAAGACTCGCCTGCACTATTCTCACTCCGGGTGAGAATAGAGGTGGCCTTTGGCCCCAACCCCTGACTTAATGAAAATAAGTTTGGGGTGTTTCAGGGGGGCATACCCCCCTGAATTTTACCACAATTTAATGTTTTGCAGTTGTTAGGTTTGATATCTCAGCTCGCCGCGAATCAAACGTATTGATCTAGATCTAGATGTAGATCTAGATCTAGGTCAGGCTCAAATAAGGGGGGGTGGGAACTACCGAAAAAGCACCAAGATTCCTGCGTTTTACCCCGTCATAGCCTCAGGCAGGCAAGTTTCGCTTTGGTCCCTAACCCTCTAACCATGACTCTAACCCTTGAACCCTAACCCGATCCTAACCCTAATCCTTACCCTGAAAAACGCAAATCGGAATTAAATGAGGGAATCTTAACAATAGCCGAACTGTAACCAAAAATAAATGACACGAAAAGACCAATTTTAATTATGGTGACTTGAACTGTTAGTTGACCTATCCAAGGCAGGCTTGCAAGGCAAGTAGGGGCCTAAATTTTATAGTAACACAGCATTCTCCCCTACTCTTTTAATTGCGCTTTAATACCACAGTGGCGGTGGGTCCACCAAAGTTCAATCCGCCCAAAATGAATTTTTAATACAAAAAAAGGCAGAAAAATATTACTGGCTAATGTGTTAGGGTTCACTTACCCTACATGGCCACTTTTGTTCTAAGCAGTCACTACTTTTTCTTATCATATATATCATGTATATATACAAATGGGAAGGCTATTTCCAAAGAGCCCAGATTTTTTACCATTATCCGAGAAGGCTAGGTGTTAGATCTTGTCTTACCTACTCAATAAAATCAGGGGTGTGGCTGAAAGACAGCTGTAAGAAGGACCCAAGGAGTAGCAGTAGAGAGGCTGCAGAAAGAGTCGGAAGCCCAGAGGAGGGGGCAAAGGAGGAGAGGGGGAGGCAGAAAGTGGAGACGAAAGCAGAAAACAGAACATTAGAGAGCTGGAAAGGAGGTGAATAGGAGAAAATTTTTAGAGAAGAAAATTTTCTGTCACTGTCCGGATTCGAACTCGGGAATGACTGAATGAGAGGCGAACACTATAATCTGTCGACCATGAGCGCCCGTACACAGTTAGTCTGAGAGAGGCTACAACTTCTCTTGTATTGTGCACCGCTGCCACTAATGAGAGGGATAGTGGCGGTGGAGGGGGACCCTTTTTTTTTTTATGGAGAGATGATTGATTAAGAAATATATATACAGTAGTCTCCGCCTAAGATCCCGGTGCTCGGGAGCAAGGAAATGCGGGATCTTAGGCGAACCGGGATCTTAACCGATGAACCCAGGGAAGAATCTATGGTGACCCATGTTAAGGCTCAAAATCGGTAAAATGGTCTCCCTCCTCCCTACAATGAACTGACGTGCCCCCTTGGTGGGTTTATGGCATATGACGAGCAAAGAGTGGTTAACGTTGATGACCTATCACGGTGCATAGTGGCATGAGGCGTGCCATTTTCACTTCTATTATAATCCTATCATGAGTCTCAAGATCTACGCTTATCCAGTTGCCCCTCCTCTTTGCCTGTCAAAAATGTATAGGTTTCCATCTCTGACCGAGTCCCCCCCCCCCCCCCCTCCAAACCGCCTTTGTCGTTACACACCATTACGTTGTGAACCCACCAATTAAAATTCAGTCTGTCTCGCAAATTCGGGAGTACAGACAACTGCTGCATGGTCAAGGAAGAGTTCACGGTTCGATGTGATCCTGCCTGGAGCGCGAACATGTAGGCCCTACCCACCCAGCGAGTGATGCAAGTTTAGGTGGCGAGCTCAGGTGTGAGTGCGATGCGTGGGGAAAACAAACGCGTCGGTCAGTTCACACCCCGGTGTGATCCCGTCTGGGGCAAACATTGTATCGCTTCATCGAGTTTTACAACGTGTTTGTGATCACATTCACGATAGTGGTTGATCTTTGACGCGACGGACAGTTTATTGATCTCAACATTTCACTCTAGGTTGATCGGCTGTGCCCTCCCGGGTTTTTGTTTAGCAAATTATGATCTGAAATGCGGGATCTTAGCCGAATGTAGACCATCAGAGCGGGATCTTAGGGGTGACTTTTGTATAGTAAAAATTCTGTTTTCCTAAAACAACGGGATCTTAAGCGAACCGGGATCGTAAGCGGTGGGATCTTAGGCGGAGACTACTGTATATATATAATAATATAAGTTAACCAAATTCGTTAGGACACTAGTATTATACTGCTTTTTAATTATAAATACAGAACCATGGAACAGAGACATTCCTGCATGTCAGGGTATAATTAGGTGGGCTTGCTCCTCCGCCCCCAAAATTGCACTTCCTTTCAATCTTTACAAATTATTGATTGTACTTATGGACACGTCACACGTTCAAATTCTAAAACACTTGCTTGTCCATTTTTATCTGCTTCATTCGTTGAAAGTTTTACTTTTATAATCTGCACCAAATATTTGTTTTCATGAGATCAGATATACAAGAAACTATTACACGTGAGTAGTGTGGTGAAATCAGGTGCTCGTCAAGATATAAACCAGCATTTTTCAGCTTAGGCAATTTTTATGCCCAGAATTTTTGTTTTTTGGATCTTTTTTATGTCCATTTAATTTAAAATGCCCATAATTTTTCTGTGTGGATTTTACTGAAAAATGCCAAAGACACGAAAACATTTAAATTTTCAGTTTCTAAGGACTCTGTTTAAGCTTTGGAATTCACCAAACTTTGGTGGTCATTTTCTCGCTAATTTTACCTATATAGCCGGGCGACTCTATCTCCTTCACTGCTATTCAAGGTATATATGGGTATTATTTTTATTGAAAGCAAGAGAAATGAATATTGATTCCACCGATTCGTGACACATTGTAGTCCCAATTTTTGTGAAATATTTCACTTGTCGATAGCTAACTGAGGGGTTTTATCCGATTAAGGGGGTCATGATGCTGCTTCCCTGTATTTCATCATAATTTGATGTTTTGTGGCTTTCATTTTTAAAAAAATTGATTTGCGACGGTTTTAGAGGCCATACTGCGTTTTCTGTGCTAAAAACTATATGTACAGCAATTTAGCTCCTAAAAGTAATGCATCTGCATGCGAGTGCGAAAGTAAAATTTTATCCATTTATAAAATGCTAACATATCAAAATCGGGTGACCTTATTTAGGCCACATGTATGGCCTAAATAAGCTAAACCCCCCTCCCTAACCTTATTTAGGCCACATATGGTTACATAGCCACATATGGTTACATAGCCACATATGGCCTAAATAAGCTACCCCCCCCTACCTTATGTAGGCCGCATATGGCCTATGCTAGCCCCCCACCTGACCACTGACCTTATGTAGGCCACATAATATTTTATGAGAGAAAGAAACCCTCTTCACATTCATCTTCCATCACAGCAGGATATGTAATGAATCTAGAATCAATTTAAGGTTCTTTTCTGTATCTATAAATCTGCAGTTAAAATCTCATGCGGTTGGTACATGTCTGAATTGCCCGTACTGAATGTTTTAAAAAATGTTTATTTTCTTTGAAAGTGGATAGGTGGACCTAGGGGTACATAGCATAACATCGTCTAGTGTTAGGGTAAGGCAAGGTTTTAAAAAGAAGGAAAAAAAGACACATGGTGGGCAGACTCAGTTCGAGATTATAATTCCAGTTAAACGTCTACCTAAATCATCATTAAAAATGTTGTTTTTTTACTTTAAAAAAAAGAAAAGTTGTTTGTTTAATTTTTCTTTCTTTAAAAAAAAATTAAAAAATAAAATCATCCCGGCAAACATGATGTAGTGTATAACCGAATCTAGAGTAACACTGCCACCTGGCAACACTGAGAATGTCTTTGTATTTTGAGGATTTTAGATTTATACATATATTACAAAGCAAACAGATTGGAATGGCATGGTTATGCTGATAGGCTAGTCCTACTACATTAGATCATGTACACCAGTTCGTTCGTTTTTTAAGTAGATTTCTAGAACTAGCCATGGATTCGCAAGATCGAGATTCTACTCTTCTTTTATTTTGTGAGGGGGATTATTTCAAAATAGAGGACTGATTATGAATGAAAAGTGGACAAAGGGTAGGAGTTGTGTGTGTGTGTGTGTGTGGGTGTGTTTTGTGTGTGTGGTTGTGGTGAGAGAGATTAAATGTAATAGTGTGTTTGTATGTTGTTATTTGTGTGTGTAATGTGTGTGTAAGTGCGTGAATGTTAATAATAATTGTGTTCGTGAGTGACTATATCTGAGTTGTACGGTCCAAATGGACTTTATTTTGTTGAGAATTTTACATAGAGTGCACACAACTACATAACACCTCTTTACAAAGTCACAGAAATTTTATTTTTTTGTACTTTTATAATTGAGGTACAGTACAGGGTGATTTTTGGTGATTTAAAAAATCACCCGCAAGGACAATCGGACAAAATAGGCTGTATCTTTACTGCTAATGGTCATATTTAGACAAATCCTACATAATTCTCTTTGTTTTTCTTAACTTCTCAAAATTTATTAAAGAGTAATCCAACTAGAATCTAGGTAGTAATTTCTTAATCTTATGGGCATTCTTAAAATTTCAAAACTTGTTTTTAGCGCTTTTCTCAACGTAAAACGGATTCCGTTAAAAAAACCCAATGACCATAAGTCAGCTCTTTATTCTTCTTTTTCAAAGTATTGTGCTTCCTTTGTGTGAAGCTATATATTTTATGCTTTCAAGTAAAAAAATCAAGTAAAATGTTCTTCAGAGACGTAGTAGTGGTCCCACTGGAACATTTAATAAACCGCGAAAAGTTGACCAGAAAATAATCATCTTATGATCTTCACTTGCACTTGCAATTTTTTTGACAAATTATAGTCTACCTCATTATCTTTTTTTTTTTCCACAGATTTTTCTTCACTATTCATGACAACTGTTGTTTTCAGTTATTATCAGTGGGTGGTTGGCGGGTGCTCTGGTGTGGTTTGCTTCTTCTTTCCTATCAAACATCTATCGTCCTTATCTCCCCTTCTTCTTTTTTATATTTGTTACTCTCTTGTAACTCCTCTAATCTTCTGGAGCTCATATGACCTTATGCAGTTGCGAGGGCCGTAAAACCTCTAATAAAACTAAACTAGCTATTATCAAATATTAGCAATTTTCATTAATTAGCACAATTAAAAAAAAAAATTGAGCCAGAGACTCGCTGTCTAAAAAGTTCACTGCTAATGCTATAAGAATCAAAGGAGGAGAGGAACTGGATTAATATTTCAGATGGTGTGGAGGACTTCCGCACTGTCTGTCTGTTCATTTTACATAGTTGCAAAGCTGACATGGAGTCAGTTAAACGGATTGTTTTTTTGTTTTTTTTTGGGGGGGAGGATACCTGGTCTTTTAGGTGATCGTGTTTAGGTAACTTGCATTCCTTGAAATTCTGCATCATAGTTTGAATATAAATAGGTGTCAGAGGACTCAGTGCAACCTCCATCAGTGGAGGTGGGTAAACTGTATGATACTCGTGGTAATAATTTTGCATATATGGATGTAGACTCTTGAGACAAGTTTTCAAAGTAACACTCTCAGAGTGTTACAGTGCAACTTGTTTAAATCGTCAACTTTTTTGAGATTCAAGAAATTTTAATTTCTTGATTTATTGTATTATTAAGATGTTTTTTTTGTGTGTGTGTTTACAGGATCTTCTCGACGTGAGCTTGGCTTACATCGCAGACTGGAAAAAGATCCTTTCCAGTACAGGTGTTGTACACTGACATATATGTCTGTTCTTGGGAATGTGGGAATTTGAAGAGAACTAGTAGGATAGAAAGTACACTCATGCTTGTGTGGAAAGTTAAGAAAAGTGAGTGTGAATATTAAGAACTAAAAGGCAAGTAAATCATGGCTGTCAGTAATGTGTTGAGCATCGTGGCCGTGGTGATATCCCACTGGTCTATCTCTATGGCGATGGTGTTTGTTAACAAGCGCCTCGTTGGGAGCAAGGACAGTGGCCTGGACATAGCCGTCTTCATCGTGTGGGTTCAAAATCTTGTGGGTGCGCTCATCATGTCGTTGGCCATGAAGATCAACGGCAGCCTGGAGCTGTCATGGAAGACGCCCCGGTTCTGTATTGCGGAGCTGACTCACCCAGACATGGTACTCTCCTCGATGACTTTTGCCGGCACGCTCGTCTTCAACAACCTGATGCTTAAATACATCAGCGTGGCATTCTACCAAGTGGCGCGCTCACTCACTCTAATCTTTGTCATCTCATTCAGTGCATTTATCCTCAAGGAGAAGTTTACCACACATGTCCTTCTCTCCTGTGCCCTCATTGTTTTGGGATTCTATGTGGCTGTAGATGAAGAAATCATAAGCCAAGGCGTACAGATGATTGGGGTTGTCTATGGCATCTTAGCAAGCCTGTTTGCTGCTCTGTGTGGTGTTTTTTTCAAACGTTTCCAGACCGGAATGAAAGTGACATCAATGCAGCTGACTTACAACAACTGTGTGATCTGTGCTGTCACCCTTTTTCCTCTAGTAATCTCCACCGGTCAGTTGTCCAGCTTCCTAAGCTCACGTTTTGGCAGCGATGCTGTCACATGGGGTCTTCTAGTAGTCTCTGGGATTATGAGTCTCACTATGGGATGGATCAGCGCCCTCCAGATCCGTCTAACATCTCCACTGAGCCACAACATCAGCATCAATGCAAAGTCTCTGTGCCAGACCATGCTGGCAGTCAGCTGGAGTGGTCAGAGCAGACACTGGCTCTGGTGGCTGGGTAACGGCCTCGTCATGACGGGTATCGGCGTCTATACGGCAAACAAAATACGCCTGGAGAGCAGCAGGCAGAACAGGAATATCGAGGTGGAGGTGAAGGAACCCAAGCAAGAGGATTAGCAAATTATAAAGCTCATTTAGTAAATCTATGAGAAAATAAGTCGTACTGACCTCCTACCTCCTTGCCAACTCTATTATATTTTAGTCTCTGTATGTCGAATCAAATTACTTTTATTTTAAAATACATATATTTTGCTATAAGTATTATATTTTGTTTGGTCCCATGGGAACTTACAGAAACTTCCTAACTTTAAGGGACCTAAAAAAGTTGGGTTAAAGGATAGAAAGGACAAAAGAAGGCAGCTGAAGCCTTCTGTAGATGTATTGTTTGTGGAAGGTAGTTGTCTGCCACTTTGGCAGTTTTGAGTGAGTGAGTTAAGGTTAAGGCTACTGCTATCCATTTATACTATGTGTTGGTGTGTTGGTACAGTGGAGTCCGTGAAAGTCAAAATCCGGATTTTCTTTGGTTTAGCCCTGTTTTCAGTTTAGACAGATTGATCAAATAGCAGGGGGATTGATGATTCCATTTTCTTTCTCTTTACTGCTGTTTTCCCATTAAATGTGTTCAGTTTAAGCTAACTCCACTGTATTTTCTTCTCATAAGAAATGTGCATGATTTAGTTTTACACTTGTAGGCTCATTTTTATTTTCTCTTTGAGGTAAGCCGTAGTTAGGACATTAGATTTTCCCATGGGTGTTTACAAGTTTTAAAATCAGCCTGTTCCTGAATCAAATGAATTTGATAGGCTTCTACTGGTTTAATTAAGTTACAGAATATAATGTACGGAAAAGCAGTGAATAATGGTCACAATGAAATTGAAATAAAAGAATTGAAAGGGATAAAATTATAAAATTATGCTTTTATCGCCCTCTCTGGGGCAATTTAGGTTACAATGGAGATACAACAATGTATTCATAAAATGATTTACAGTAGGGTATGCCAGAGTCACAAAAAAGTATGAGATACCCCTTTTTGTTGATCCGTCTGGGGCAATCTGGGGTACAATGATAACTGGCAGGTACAATGCAGACAGAAATGATAAAACCAAATCACTTGATTTATAGTGTATATATATATACACAGTATCACACCAAAGCTAACAATTTCATAGAAAAGTGACATTATTTGTGAACCTGAGCTCAGGAGCAACTCGGCCCCTGCAGTTGTTCATCTCATTTCCAGAATCTCTGTGATATTGAGCTTGCCATATTTTTAGTTTTGTAGAAAACGAATCCTGATGTTAAGTGATTCGTTGTGTTACCAACCATGTTCCTTTTACTGACAGCTGTTTTCTTTGTCTGAATGTTCTATTTACAGCATAATTTTTACTTTTACTTAGTCTCTTTTCAAGCTGATGTTTTTCTGTGTATCGGGGCTGTGAAGTGTGTATTCCTGTGAGAAAATTTCTCTGTTGCCAATCTTTTTAAAAACTGAAATGTTCTACGGTGGCTACGAGTAAGTTAGTGTGAGCTGCAACTGCTGCAATACTGTATTTACATGTAGTATTGCTTTCGATTATGAGTGAGTGTGAACTTTGACTGTTCCTTTTCTGAACATTTCTGTGGGCTCAGATCACTCGAACCTCGTTTTGAAAGTGCCATTGTGATCTGTACTTTGCTGCAAGAGGTCTTTTTATTCTTTGAGTGTGACTTATGATTCATGCTCAGGTTTTTCTTCTATTGATGCTGTGTCATTTGGAAATTAACTTAATCAATGATCTAAAAGTTACCTTGCTTTTTTGTTTGTTAACATGATCATGAGGGCAGATCTGGTAAAGATCCCTTGAAAAACACCAAGCCTTAGAATCAGTTGAAATTGGTTGGGTAGCAGCTCTGCTCTCTCTTTAACCCCTCGAATGAATTGACACATACTTTGTATGTTATGTGGAGTTGAATAATGACAAACTGTTTTCTTCTTCACAGCTATTTTCTCTTTTTTTTAAAAATGAATTTGTTACACTTACAGGGGATACGGTTTTCTTTATGACTCTTCTGGTCTCCTTTCCCCAGATTTGTCTATTTGTTAAGTTTTCTTTTCCTTTGCTTGCTTTCAATTCCCTGCTTTGCGCTTTGCGCTTTGTACTATTTTATTATTTTTATAATGTATGTCAGGAAACTGATATTTGAGTTTCTCTTTCCTTTAGTTGCTTATTTTGTAATTTATTACCTGAAAAATAATCTTATTTATACAGCATGAAATATATTTTTGTATTGAGAAAGAATCTTTCAACTGATGTATTTGACATTATTGTCGATGGTTGTTTAAATTTTTTTAAATTGATTTTGTTTGCTCCAATTTTTCCATTTTGTTATTTTGAGAACTTCTGTGCCAGTGCCAGTTCCATTGTCAGCTGGAATTTTTTGTTCAACAGATCTTAGTATTTTTTTCACAATGAAATGTGCTCCTTTGTATCGATAACATTTTCAACTTGGAAGAAAGTGATGAGAGACATGAACTCAAGATAAGGGCAGGATTGTTTTCACATAGAAAGTTATGATGTTGTCCACCATGGCTGTTCTGAACCCTCCTTGTCAAAAATGGGAGTTGAACGTTACAGTTTCCATTCAAGTACAACCCTTTGAGATACTTTGGTGCAGAGTTGGAGTCAGCATAGTGATGACATGATCATAATGATAGCTGGTGTACCACAACAAGCAAAGCCATCGCTTGGCACCTACAAGGGAAAAGACAAACAGGAAGGCCAAATAACACCTGGTGGTGGGGTAGGGATGCACAGTCTTCACAGACAAAGAGGACCTTACATTCTTTGAGACAACTGGATAGACTGGCCCAGGATCAGGACCCTGGACTGAGCTTGTTCGTGACCTCTGCTCCACGAGGGGGGGGAAGGTAGAAGTTAACGGTGATAACTGATACTTTCCAGAAGGAGGTGGTTTCCGATTCTAGGTTTGTCCATGAAGTTTACTAATTTGAGAATCATTCCATGTGTTGTGTCTTTCTCTTTGATGATATTTGGTGCTTGATTGTTTGGTGTGAAGCACGTAGAGCATGCTGTAGAGCATGAATATATGGCCTGCGTAATATTATTATTATTGTTATTATTATTTCATTAACATAATTATAAATATTGCTTGAATCACTGTTCCGAGGTGCCCCTACTGTATGATGGGCGTCTGTGTTTGACTGCAGGAATTTATCTATTTTTGTAAGTTCCTGCCTTTGTTGCTTATGTTTGTCAGGCAGCTCTGGACTGTGGTGGAGTTTCTGTCTGTAGGTGGCCTGTTGGTTTAATTGTTATGACAGAGATAGCAAACTCACCTGTCTGACAAGGTAACTTTTCCTTCTTTCTCCGACTAAGTTGGCTTTCCAGCTCATATATTTGTAAGTTTGAATATATCATTGTGTTCTAAAGGTTTGGTGCTTTCAATGTTGATTTTTAGGTCTCTGGTGCCTGCTTTTTTGCTGATTGTACTTCATACAGATTTATTTTTGTTGGAAATATTCTTAATTGTGTTTGTTTGAGTGTTTGGGTGTTTTCTTGCTTTTTTGTTTTCAGCTCAATTTTTAATTGTTCCTGAATAATAATATTTTTATTACTGTATATATAGAAAAGAGGTTTGTGAAGTATATTATCAAGCCTTTTCAAGTCTTGGTATAGAGTGACAGGTCTTTTGATATTGAAGTGCATATATCATGTGTACATATCGTCTCCAACATATCTAATTCTGCCAAGTTTTGGGCTCAACAAAAACGACATTATTTTGATGGATCTCTAGATCAGTGCTCTTGATTTGATGAATGAAGCCCTTTTTGGCTGTTAGTGTTATTCAGTTTTGCCAAAGCGTTTCGCATTCTGATCTCTGCGTGACACAGCTGATTTTTTCAGGGATTAAGTCAAGTTGAATAGATGTTCTATTTATTGTGTCTCACTTTCATTTTGCTTTGACCGAATGTAGGTTTTGTCATACTGTAGTGCAAAGCATGTGGTCCGGAGGTGAAGCAATTCTTTGATACCTCAGCCTCTGATGAGATCACCTGTTGGTTTTTAAGTCAGTTACCATTAGTAATGCTTTGTGTGCTCTATACTTTGGTATTGTTCTCGTAAGTTTACATGCTGCAGTATGTTGCTGTCAGAAGTTGTGCCTTATAATTATAGTAGTAGTTATAGTCTAGTGAATTGACAACAAAGTCCCATAGAAAGTTGTCGTTTTGGTGTAGATTAGTGTCTCAACACAAGTGAGGGTGCAGTATCTATTTAGAGGTTCGCTGGTATCATTCTGGGCTATGGTGTGAGTGACGCTAATTGAACGTCAGTTGTTTGGGGAGTTTTCAAGATACCCCGGGTCGGTGGTTGGTGGGTGCTCTGGTGAGGTTTGCTCCTTCTTTCCTACCCAACTTCTATTGCACTTTTCGTGTTTTTTACTTTCACTTGTAACCGCTCTGATCTTTAGCATTTATATGCCCAAATTGTGTTGCAAGTGCCATAAAAGTAATATTACTAAAACCAAACTACGATATTCCCCTCGTGTCATACCAGAGATGAACATAAACTTTGAAAGTCCCGCTTCTTAAATGATTTTACAGTGTTAAAAGCCCATTCCATCAGAGAGTTTACGGTAATACTGTAAATCCTCTTGGATTCTATCACCAATCCCCTATTGACCTATTTCAGACAAGTAGATCATGTGAGAGCACAAGAATGGTTTGTCGCAGTTTATTGAAAAAACTCGTCTTGTAGTGGTAGGGCTTCACCTCTCAGTCTGGCCTCACCTAGATATGGTAAGTCTGGTTTCACTGGGCGTATGCAAAGTAGCTAATTATGCCAAAGGATTTCTATGATTCTTTATTAGAATTACTTCCTTTTGTTGAGTGGCTGTTTGGTAGTTTCTACTTCTTTATTATCTGTCTTTTTTCTCTTTTGCGGCCGTCTTGCTTTTCCTTTGCATTATAGGACAGTTTCTGTTTTATCTTGCTTCTATTTACTGAAACGAGAACAAAATACGTTCCTTGGTAAAACTTTTTTAAAATCTGAAATCTCGTAAAGCAGCTTTTGCATTACTTAATTGTCTGTGAGATTCATGCGCCTAATCTTGCCTAATGAAGGATTGTCCTCCTAGGGGATGGAGTTCGGATCCTACATTGTTGTGGGTGGCCAAATGGCCCAGAAAAATTCCTTTTTTTTTTTTGTTGTTGCTGGCAATGGATGTTGTTCCCCTGGTGCTGTCCTGACAGTCTTCATGTTTTATAATCATTCCATACCTGTTCTCCTCTTGCACAGTTTGAGCATTATTATTATTATAACTATTATTATTATTATTATTATTATTATTGTTTTATTATTATTATTATTATTATTGTTTTATTATTATTATTATTGTTGTTGTTATTCTTATTATTGTTGCTACTCCACTTTTTTGGAAAATGAAAATCCAGGTATTATCTCCACAAAGCCTGCCGGCAAACTTTGCTTTTGAAAATCTTTATTAAAATGGATTTTTGCTATGTAAATCTTTTTTTTTTGTTTGTATCCCATTACCATGTTGCGACAAGTGTAAGAAAACTGAGAAGATGGTATTTACAGTTAAAGTAATGGGGTTTTTCAACTCTGTGTCTCCATCACTATATTAAGGTGTAGCAGACAAATATGTGTCTCATCCTCCCTTGACAGACCAAAAGCAATGTTGCACGACATTTTGAACTGCCATAAACATTTATCAGAGACACAAAATTTTAAAAGTTTTTGTTTTTAACCCCTTCCTGACGTATGATTTTTCCAACTTTTAGTGCACCCAATTTTCCTGTAAAATTCCGTTCAAAGCTTTTGTTGTGCAGTTATAAAATCCGGTACGGTGTGTGTAGTACGGTCCACGCAATTGCCGTAATCGGCTGATTTTAGGATGTACATTGCATGGGAGGAATTATCTCTCTTGACACACATTGTTGGATGTACGTTGTAAGGGGTTAATCAATGAAAAGAGATTTTATATTTTATGGAATATCTGAATAATAACGAAGTTACTCTTCTTTTTTAAAGCGTCCCAAAACAGCTCATCCTCAAACGTTGTTAAATGGCCAGAATTGTGAGTTAGCATATATGTGAGGCATCTTGGTGGAATCAGGCTCTTATCAAAATA